ATATACCAACCGATTTCCAGTTAATTTGTAGAGACACTTGGTGTCTGTCTGGATATATAACATATCAATAAAGATCATGTACCTTGCAAGCGTTTCACTATAAAAAAAATAAAATAAAATAAAAAATTCCAAAAAGTTTTGTTACACACTGTATATACTATATATACAAGTATATTCAAGAAATAATTGATTTAGTTTAATTCAGATTCCAAGCTTATTCGGTGCAAACCTAGTTCACATAACTGACTCAGAGTTATGGTTTCTTGAATAACATGGTTCGTAATAAGTAATCAAAAAAAATGGTTGGGTAATTACTGCATTAAATTATTATCTAATGGTAGTATGAATTATTAAATAAATTCATTATTAGCAACTATATACAGTATTTCTACGCAATATTATAACAAGTTGTGCGTTCCCCTTAGTAAACTTGTAGATTCTGGACTTAACAACGGACTCCGTTTTCCTAGTACCATAGTGCTATGATTTTATGGGTTAGTAATACTATAAAAGTCTTTAAAAGCATCGAAGTAATCTTTATATGATAGTGGACCTGTACAATCAACAAATTTTCCCATTACCTGTTTACCCAATCAACTTTTGGAGGACTGCTGTGGACCGTTGTTTGTGTTTTTGTAATCCTTGATAATATGGTATTACACACAATACATTGTATAAATATTGAGCAGAGATTTTTTTTTCGAAAATAAAAGGCATGAGATGTGCTGTCCTTACCTTACTTATGTGACACCCCTACTGCATTCGTGCGTCATTCGTGAATCACTGATTTATCACCCGTGCAGTTAAAATTTCCGTACCATATTACGTATTTGGCTGATTCTTTTTGAAAACGACAAAAATGTTATATACGATATTTTGATCCCTATTTTTTGAACAATACATATACAATATAAATTCTAGGAGTACAATTATAAAGTCAAAAAAATACCTGTCCGCCTTCAAAAAGAATTACCCATTTAAAAGGATGAGTATTCAAAAAATATATTTCTGCACAAGTGTTGCACAGGTGATGCATAAGTGCTGTAGGAGTGTCGCATAAGTGAGATAAGAACGCCCATGTCCTTTATTTTGGAAAAACAAATCTCTCTTTTTTTTAAATACTGTACTGTATTGAAATTAATTTACCATAAATTAATAATATGGGAAATACAACGAAAAAACAAAGCAATAAAGATGCAACGTCGATAGAACAAACTACTTCAATGCCTAATTTTCGACACCTTTACGGAAGGAGATATCATAATGATTCGAGTTCAAGATACTACCTTCCAAACGACTATCAAGAATTAGATCGGCTGCATTTACAACATTTCATATATAGACACATATACAAGGGTAATTTTTTTGCCCCTGTTGATCACATTTTAGAAAGAAATGGCTCGAAAATTCTTGATGTTGGGTGAGATAGCACCTTAATGAAATTTGTAATTAATTTTCTTAAAGATGCTGTTTAACTGATTTTTATTTAATAAAAGTTGCGGTGCAGGATCCTGGATGTTCGATATGGCAACAGATTTTCCTAACACTGAAATCATAGGAGTCGATATCTCTCCTGTTCAACCTACCGAAATTAAGCCCAAAAATGCCTCCGTTGTTTATGCGAATGTTTTAAATGGATTACCCTTTGAAGATAACACCTTTGATTTTGTATTTCAACGCTTTATGGTTACTGCGATTCCCATAAACAGGTGGCCTGATGTTATCGCAGAATTAATTAGAGTTTTAAAACCCGGAGGTTACGTAGAGGTACAGTGTTGATTACATCGTGATTTAAAATTGCATTTATAAATTAATATCATATCTGTATTGTTACTTTTCTAAGTTATCAGAGGTCAGTCCAAGTGTTTACAGGGCTGGACCTGTTTCGAGTAAATTTTTTGATGCCCGTAAGATAATATTACACATATAATTTGTAAAATTTTTGAAAACCATATTTAATACTCATTTGTATACTTGTAGTTTGCGAATTGCAAAAATCTCGAAACCTTGATAGCAACATAGTCTATAGGTCGCGATCTCTTTTAGAAGAGAATGGCAGACTCGAAGATATTAATGAAGAAAAAAACGTGTATAGTTATAGTACTGAAGATGGCAAACTAGGAAAAGCGGTAAAGAGCTTTGTATTTTTTACTTAGCATTTTAATAATTTTCTAATTTACACAAAATGTTGTATAGGCTGTTGATAATGCCAAGACTGTATTTAACAACCTGAAGCCCCTTTATTTGCCAATTTTAGCGGTGACCCCGGAAAAGTTTGACGAAATGTTTGAAACATGCGTTAAAGAGATGGAGGATAACAAAATCTATCACGACACATGCCGTGTTTATGGACGCAAGAAGGAAAATGTTTGACTTTGTATTTTAAGTTCTTAAACTGCATCAATTTATTAAGTTTCTTTATCGAATGCTTTCTTTCAAAATATGTATAATTAAAATCGATGATAATCTACACGTTTATTCTTTATTTTCTCGAAGACCGCATACCCTTTAAATTATATTTAGACAACTCTAAAGCAGATAAGCATAGAATCAAATAAGCAAGTAGCGAAATTTTCTATATACCATACGTCGTACGAGTATAATTTATATTAAGTTTTATAACAAACATAATATTTTATAAGGCTGAGTACAAACTACGTAAATATATAAAATATGTAAAACTATAAATTAAACCTAAAAAATGTAAAAAATCAAATAATTCCCGAGAATCCCAACCATATCTATCAATATTGCTTCAATAAAATTTGTTTAAAAAAGGAAAGCCGTGAGTAAAAAGAGGACATGGTAACGCGATACGTGTCACGTTACGTAAATAGTGTTGTTATGGAGGAACGGTGGAATTTCTAAAATAGCGTATAATAATAAACATATGTAAACATGTAAACAATCAGTGCATGTATAAATACACGTGTAATTCATATCATTTAGAAAATTTGGGTTTTAAAGTACATCAGTAATAAACAATAAAGCAACGTTTAAGGGAAATCTTACCTTGTGTTTAGTGTGCAAAAGGAAGACTTGTAACTTATACTACAGTATGTGACTACAAGAGAAATCCGAGGTTTTGCTTAAGGGAATTGACATTGGAAGGGTACCAGCCAAATCGAAGACATTCCTTAAGAGTTGAAAGAAAAACTTGCCTTATTGTTGATTAACAGATCAAACATAATAGAAGATTGACAACTGACTTGCTGGATAGCCCATGACAATATACTGTATATACAGTATTATTATTAATGATTATTTCAAAAATTTTATACTAATCAAATAGACATTGATAATATGTTCTAAAAAAATTAAATTACATAAATTAATATTTTTTGTATTTACTGTATATCGTTGTGGGTAAAATCGACACAGGCACACGACGCGATACCACGTTACGTCACCCTGTTGTCGCGATCTGTGGGAAAATTAGTATGGGAAAGTTTAGTGACAGAAATTTATAGAGTAGCGTAGAATAGTAAACAGATGTAATCATGTAAATAATAGGCGCATGTATAAATACATGCGAAATTCAGACGGATTAGAGCTTTAGTTTAGAAGTTAGTGCGCCTTAAGTAATAAACAATAAAGTAACGTTTAAGAACAAACTCTTACCTTGTGTTTAATGTGCCAAAGTAGACTTGTAACTTGGGCTATGCGACTACAAGAGAGAACCGAGGTTTGCCTAAGGAAATTGGCATTAGAAGGGTTCAGGGTTAGTCGGTAAAGAAGTTAAAGTGGGAGAAAGGCCAAATCAGAAACACGCCTCAAGAGTAAGGAAAACTTACCTTATTGTGAACCGTAACGAAGCGAGAAGCAGTGTGGGCTTGCCGGAAAGCCCACAAAAATATTATAAATCAAATTAAGGCAATAATTTATTTTGTGCAAGTGTAATTTATTAGGACTGGTAATATGCTTAGAATCAATATATTTTATAATAAAAATAAAAATAAAATAAAATGACAATTAAGATTATAATAATATTGTTATAACAGTTTAAAGTATTATATAATTTATTAATCTGATAAATCTCAGTAAAAATTAATTATATGCTATTTGTCTTGATTATGTTATGAATTATTTAATAGCTTATAATCTTTCAATTTTTTCTCTTTTATTATAATATTATAATATGGTATTATAAGGGGATAAAATGAATTATGTAATAATAATATATGGTATTTTCATTCAATTAAGGTATAATTGTATATAAACCTTTTTTTATAGATAAACATCATTTCTTTATTTGGTTTGTATATAACAAGGTATATATTATAAAAGAAATAACATCTCTCATATGTTAATACAATAAGTTAAATGCTAGCTTGCCTACAGTAATTATGACTAATATTGAAAATAAAATTTAAAACAATATATCTTGTTAGATGGCACTGAGCAGCTATGAATACCTACTCAATATTAAAAAATTAGAATTACAGTTAAGAAATGAAGATACTAAACTATAGATACATTTAAAATAATTATATTCAAATTAAATAAATGTATTAGTAATGATAGAAGAAAGATTAATGATAGTATTTTCTTGTGAATTAGTGTAAAGTGTTGACTTGTAAAATATTTTTGTTTTTAGATTTGAGAAAATTGGATAAATTGAAGAGTTTAGTATAATTACATTTAATTTTGGTAAAAGATAAAATACTAGCTATAAAACAACATAGTTTTCAGATTAGGTCATATAGTTGAAATAGGAATTCTATTGCTGCTTTAATCCAATTAACAGAAGTTAAAGTAGAGAATATATTAGTTGTTATTTTAGATAACAGTTCAAATACTTGCTATATATATGAAATGGATTTAAAACTGTTATAGGGCTCTTAACAAGCTGTATCAAGTTGAGTCAAGTAGCTTTCAAGCTTTTTTTTTGTTATTTTTTATATAGTAGATTATTTATAGCCTTGTAATAAGTTAATAATTTCATGACCTGTGGGTCTGTAGTGTAGTGGTTAACACTCCACAGATCAAATTACAAGATACCAGTTCAACTCCATGTGAGGACAGTTGAATAGAATTAATATAGTATCTGGCATCATAACCTGTTAAGTACTATTTTTCATGAGAAGCTGTTTCATACACTAATCTAGCAGGTGTTGAGATTATGATTTTCAGAAAAGATGTTAAAGTATAACGATTATCTGGTTGGTGTTATGATGATTGTTGCCAAGTTTGGTACAATTCCCAGTTCCACAATAGGCCATTTTCCTTTCTCTATAATCCATGAGACTATAAAAGAAATACATTACGGAGGGCCACAAATCAGAGAAATTTGACAGCAAGACTATAACACAATTTTCCTTTCCGCATGAGTTATGACTTGCCAGCAATACCCACCATTCTTATCTGTAGTAAAGGTACTAATTGGTAATATTTGTCAGAATTAAAGACTTATCTTAAGACTTAGCCCAACTTTGGAGGAGTTGCGTCCTCTTAAATAAGCAGCTTATGCTTAAAGCCCAGTATTATCTAAAAAGGATCAGATCATCAACTCCATAAGGTTTAAAGGTATTGAAACAAACCCTGGCCAATAAGGTTCCATCTGTTTTCCAAATAGTGATCCTCCAGGCTTAGCGCCCTATAAAGAAAACCAGAAAAGACAGAAACACAATACTTTGATGGGTAATCTGTATGGTGTTAAAGAACCTTATTGAAAGGTTTACAATCTTGTAGCTGAAAGATATAAGAAAATCTTAGGTGGCAGGCTGTATCCAGACAGCTTAAAGCCTGTGGGTAGATTCTAATTTATATATAGTATTTAATATAGATTAATATTATATATATTTTGTATGTAATGACCTATCTACAAATAAACATAAACTAAAGTGTAGTCTTACTTTAGCAGTTAAAAAAAAAATTAAGGATTTCATCAATTGGATTAAGTAAATAGTATTTGAATCTATTGAAAAGATTAAAGAAAATCCATAATATTGAAACAGATGTTCTAATAAATAGTATTTGATAGAAGCCATAAGAGAAGGTGCCAATTGCATAGCCTGAATATCTGGAGAAGTTGTTGTTAGAATTAATAGTAAAATGTTTTTCGTTGAATAGTGTTCTTTTATCTATAAAGAAATATCTTTATAAGTTTTAATTATTATATTAATGTTATATAGAAACCAAAATATTATTTTGGAGTTTAATATTGAGATATAAGTTCTAAACAAGTTTTGAATATTTATAAATATTTAAAACCAATTGGGTTTTAAATCCAAATGAATTATTTCTATATATTGTTGGCCTGAAAAACGGCAAGTCAGTCGCTTCACCAGTCCAATGTTCATATAACTAAAATAAGTCAAGGTGCATAAGATTGATTTAACTAAGGCTTTTTGTTATTAACAATCTTTTCTCTTCTTTCCTGACACTAGCTCTTCTCTTGATAATCCTGGGCTATGTCTTATAACAGTGATTATCCTTCCTTGTATGGTGTGTACTTGAAAAGGTAAGTTGTTAATTACAATATTTCTTAATTGGCATTTCAATTTTTTTACTTATTATTCACTTTACAATCATATAGCTATTTATATTATTGCTACTACTAAAAACAATTAAGGAAAAATAGACTATCAGGCTAAAACAAACTATAGATAAGTTATGTAAGCTTCAATGACTACATTTCCTATGCTAATTATTAATGCTACTTCACATTTCCAGGGTATGCAATACAATAGTCACAGTATATGAATATACCATGTGATTTTTATAGGGCTAACAATATATAGCAAGTTGTAACCAGAAAAGTTTGATAATATTATTATATTTTAGAAGTTAATTAATAAAAATATATTAAGATTTTTGTTGTGTTAATAATTGTTTTTTTAATTAAAGTTGCATATTGGCAAATAAAAAATTAAACAAGATATCTATATTATTGAAATGAAATAACCATTTTGTTAAACAGATTTGAATTTTGGAATCCTTGATTAATTTTATCATATAAAGAATCTAATTGTTCTAGTTGAATTTCTATGTCTTGTACCATATATTCCATAATAAGAAAAATAGAAAACTCTTTCTTAAATATACTCACATCTGAATAAAACTATAAAAAAAGGAAATTAAAAATCTTTTCTTTAAAAAAAACTGTAAAGAATACTGAAAAGTCCTTTTCATTCTTCAAGGGTCAACCCATTGAATCAACTCACACTTTACTTAATGTTCTCATTACTGATGTTGACAAATGCCTGGCCATAATCTTTCACAAAAACAATGATACCAATGTTATCTACATTACTAACCCTACTGCCAACATTTATCTCCAAAATTTAAAAACCCTCCAAAAGCATAGCTAACACCAGTATATCTCCAAAAGAATGATCACAAAGTTCTCAAAGTAATTTCAGTCTCCTTTGAAGTACACAAAAAAAGACTTAGAAATCATTACACTAAAGTCAAAACTAGCATTTTAAATCCTATATCTCTAAAAACAATGAATTTCTTTTTCAAATACTGATATACCTTTTGCCTATTTGACAGTGACAAAGCAGGAATCATAAAGGAACCCTCCAAACAAAAACTTAATTACAGGCTTCATATTTCTTGGAACAAAATTGATATTAATATCAACAAAGCAGCAAAAATTTTTTTTCTGGAGTAAAAAACTGAAACACTTATACTCCTCCTAATACTTCTGCCCTAATTGAGAAAAGAATTAACAACAATAATATGCAACTCAATTGTGATGACAATGTACAACATGTAAACATTTTAAAACATGATGTCAATCAAACCAGTCCTAACACAGTATTCCTGGAACACAGCAGCAATCAACTCAGTTTCTATACAATCTCAAATGACCAACCTATAGTACAGTATGACACTCAAGAACTCAACATGTTCATCTATTCCCCTACACATAAGCTATCTTAACCAGTTACAGCAAATATAGAAATTGATAAGCATCTCTCTTCAAGCCAATCAGTGAAGACCCTTGAATTTTTTTCCATTAACTGAGTAGATAAAACTAACAAATACCTAGAAGAAAACCAAACTGAAAAGGGTAAGATCACTAGTATCTTTGCTATTAGAAATATCTTACCTAATAAACATAATAAAATCTTGAAGCTATGCAAGAAACTTAACAAGTCGAAAGAATAGTTAAATATGTAAGCAACTTTTTTATAAAGATTTAAAATGAACCGACAGGTACTTCAAGAACTTTTCTTAAAAAAAGCTTCTCAAAAATTAAATACAGTGATCATAATTTCTTCAGGACATTTGCAAAGAATGAATTAATCAAAGACCAATACCAAAAAGAATATAAGAAAATTGAAAGGCAATTTCACTCAAGCTACTGTCAAGCCCACAATTTGGGATATGTCACTAGAACTACTTACAACAAAATTAAAAAATAATTAACAAGGCTCTCTTTATTGTCTATTTGTATTGTTGTGAAAACAATCGAGATAGAAACATAATATTGTGATGTATCGTGCAACAATAGTATTGGTAATAATGAAATAATATAATAATTGGTAATAGTATGTACTGGATAAACACATGTCAGGAAGACATATAAATAGATAGTTTATGTAGTTTGGAGAAGAGAGTTCAAATTCTATGATTTTAGAGTTTCATTTTAGAATGCTTCTTTGTTTTTGCACACTCATTTTTTAATAAAAATAAATGCCATCTTGTTTTGTACAAAAAACAAAATACATTCTTTAAAGTGTATACAAAGTCCACTCCACTACATTAAAGTAGATGCCTTTAAGAAGGAAAAGATGTGATATTACCTTTTTCACTGTAATGTGACACTTGTAATCTTGAGACACATCTAGAGAAAAAGACAGTCAAAAAGAAATTAGCAAGTGTGCAAGTTGACCAAATTGTAATTACCTTAGAATTAAAGCCTTAGCCTATTTAGTGCTGAAATCTAAACATTTGGACTATCATTACACAAAGAATAAACCATTTTAGTGACAGACTCGCTGGTGATAATAACATTTGATAATGACTGTGATATTTGAACACTTGTTATCTCTGATAAATTGTGCAAATGAATATCAAGTAATTTTTTTAAAAAAAAAGAGAGATGTGGGTTAATCAAACTCCATTTAAAGAAAGACAGTGCTATAGTATTAAAGAACAATAAGAAAACAAAATCTTGCCTTCTTTGGAAAGTCAGAACAAACCTGTGATCATCTTGTAATTTTGGTTGATTATTAATTAAAAACAGAAAATGAATGATCTTTTCTGCAAAGACAAAAATTTGATCAAGTTAAAAAAATCAAAACTGAATGGACAACAGGATGTTTTGTGAGATCTGGTAAATGTGCTTACTCAATTAAATATAAGACGTTAAGAACCAAGGACAGAAACAAAAAAAAAAAGAAGAAAAGAAGCTCAATGGGTTAGGGTATGTGAGTTCAAAGATGAGAAGTTCAAGGACCCATATTCATGGTTGAAACATTACAAAAAGATGGTCAAAATAAATTATTAAATAAACAAAGATAAATTGAAAATAGTGATAAGTTATTTAGAAGAAATAGCCTCAGATAGGTATGAGAAATACAAGACTCAATTAACTTACTGAAATAAAGAGTGCTACTGCCAAAGAAGTTTTATGTCAAACTTTCTTTAATACTTTGTATTGATCAAACAATAACAGCAATGGCAAGCTGAGTTGTTTAGTTTAAAACAGGGGAACAATGAGAAGGTAATAACATATGCTTATAGGTTTAAGCAATTGTTAAAGAGAGTTGACTCTGGTGGTGAATATATAAGAGTTTGTATAATAAGAATGTTTACAAATGGGTTAAAAGAGAGAATGGCATCCATAGCCACCATAGCAAACTCAAACTCACTAAGAGAGATCATTGACGAAATGAAAAAGGTCAAAGATGAGTTAGGTTTTGTAATGGATAAAAAGACGAGTAGAACTAAAAAAATGGAAAATAATATTCAATAATTATTCAAGCAGATACGAGAAATGAAAAAAAGTTATATCAGACCAGTGTTTAGAGAGCAGGGTGGCATGACTAGAATGAAAACCCTAAATAGAACCGAAAAGAAAAGTTGTTATGCATGCAAAGAGAAAAATTACTTCACAAGGAATTGCCCAAATAAGGAAAATATCATCAAGGACTCTACATCAACCAACATGATACAATTTACCATTCTGAAGAATAATAGTAAAAATAAGAACCAAGTGTACATAGGAAATTAAGACTATTTGTACGGTAGCAGCAGTAAGGAAAAGAAAGTTGCACTGAAGTCAAAATTTGTTTGGAAAGAGTGGTTAAGGAGCAGGTCAAATCCAAGTGTGCCGATTCTTGACTATAATAATAATAGACCATTACCAGACAAAGATGAGGAGATGGAGGAAGCATTGCCTGTAAAAAAACCTCACAGGAAGAGGGGTCCATTGGTGATGAAACAGGCACTTGTGTACAGTATAGTGATGAAAATTTTGGCTAAACCCACAAGTGTCATAATCAGGCAAATGCTACAATATGCAAACCAGTATAAAATGTTGGCAAAAGCCCTTCATAGACTGCTGCCACTATTGGAAGAGAAAGAGACAAACTTTATCAAAACAGAAAAAAAGAAGATATCAGCTATAGAATGTCAAATTAAGATAAGGAATATATCTATAGTCACCATGATTAATACAAAAGCTGCTGTGAGCTTTATCACAAAAAAATTGATGGACTGGCTCAAGTTGAAGATCAAGGAGAAATCGACAAGCAAAATAGTAACTTTCACAGGATTGAGAACTAGGATCTGGAGTAATATCAACAGTCTTAAAATCATAATACAAGGAAGTCAAATTCTAACACTATTACAAGTAATGGACTTGACTGACAAGATTTTTTTGCTAGGCAATGACTGGTTCAAAAGAGTGACAGCCTGGATATATTATAATGAACAAAGGTTGATTCTCAAACATACAGAAAAAGTAATTAAGGTATCTATCTCCAATTATGTCATAAAGAGAGTGCTAGCAGATAAGATAAACATCGCAGAAGAATTGGATAATAATATTAACAAAGAGGAAAAAACAGATTGCATCTTGGATAAGATTATATATGAGAAAGTAGAAGTAGATGAAAAGGAAAAATACTTCATAAAAGAGATTGTAAGTGATTTAGAATTGAATCAAGAAATTTGGGAGAGCATACTGGACCTGGCTGCTTACTTATCTCAGATTGAAGAGATTCTCATGACAGTCGACGAGAAATAGGTGAAGATGTTGGAGAACAAGATTGAGGCAATGGAATTAGTAGAGGAATTGATAGAGAAACAAATAAAGCAAACAAAAGAGTTGTTACTAAAGAAGGAAATATCTTTATGCAATCTGTTCAAGAGTTAGAAAGTACTGAAGTAGTGCAACATGCTATTGATACAGAAATTGCAACTCCAATCAAGCAGCACGAATATAGAATTGCTTTAGATGTCAGAGAGTTTATTAGAGGGAAGGTGATGCAGTTAAAGAAAAGAGGTTTGATCTGGAAATCACAAAGCCCATGGACTTCACCTATCGTAATAGTACCAAATAAGAAGAGAAAATTAAGGCTATGTGTTAACTTTCATAAATTAAATTTAATGACCAAAAAGAACATGTACTCTTTATCTTGGATTGATAATTTGATCGAGACCTTTATTGATGCTAGTGGTTTAATATGATTGACTTATTGTTAGGCTATTGGCAAGTGATAATGAAGAAGAATGACAAGAAGAAGACTGTATTTGGAACATCCTGGGGAACTTATGAATTTAACATTATGCCTTTTGGATTGTGTAACATACCAGCTATATTCCAACAGCTAATAAATACTATTCTTTATGAATTTATAGTGAAGTTTGTATTGGTATATTTAGATAATGTTATAATATATTCAAAAACATTCGAAGAACATGTAGTACACATTAGATTAGTGGCAAAAAGGCTAAGACAAGCCAGCTTGAAATTAAATCTCTTCAAGTGTTAGTTTTTCTACACCAACATCAATTTTTTAGGTCACATCATTAGAAGAAATAAAATTTGACCAGATGATGCAAAGATTGAAAAAGTCAAGAACTTCTTGATGCCAAGAAATGTCCAACAACTGTGAGGGTTTATTAACTTAGTCTCGTACTATCATCAATTCATTCAAAAATTTGCAATTATTGCTTGATTTTTGCATTAGTTAATAAAAAAGAATGTACAGTTCAAGTGGGAGGTAGAACAGGAACACACATTTGAGATACTAAAAAGACATTTAATCATGGCTCCAGTATTGAAGTACCCAAATTATTCTAAAACATTCTACATTTACACTGATATATCTGGGAGTGAACTGGAAGTAATTCTAGTGCAAAAAGATGAGAATGACAAGAAATTTGTAATCATTTATGCCAGTCAGATATTAACTAAACATGAATAAAACTATGCAGCAATGGAGTTAGAGTGTCTAGTCATAATCTGAGTGTTGAACACTTCCAACACTATTATGGCATGAACCATTTCGTGGTAGTGACCAATCACACTGTATTAAAATAGCTACAGACATCAAAACTCTCTAGAAGATGAATACAGTGGATATTACACTTATAACATTATATTTTACAATCATGCATAAAAAGAGAAAGAAGCATAATATTGCCAATGTATTATCACATCTCTAGTCTTTCTGACTAGAGTTTCATAATGAATAAAATTAATATTAATATTAAAAAAAAACGATAATATCATGAGTGGTGATGAAAGTTGCAGACACAAGAAGTTGCATTACAATTTAAAATAAAGGTATCCTTTATTTCCTTTTATTTTATTTCTTTGTATTAATTTCTTTATCTTTGCATGGAACAATGATGGACGCAATACAGTACAACAAGCTGAGAAACTTTCTACAAGAATAAGAAATGCCAGAAAATATGACTAGTCAGAACAAACAACAGTTACTTGAAAAGAGTCGATGTTATGTATTTAAAGATAGAATGATGTACATGAAAAACTGAAGAAAGAAGGGGCATCTGTTACACATGTTACAATTATATGAAGTGGAATTGGTCTTATTTCTTATGCATACGCATTCACTGGATGGTTATCTTGATAAAAAAGCAATGATTAGTAAGATAAAGGAAGTTTACTTTTAGTCACAAATAATTGGTGACATTTAAATATATATATAGACATGTGATAAGTGTCAACATTAAGGTTGGAAGTATACACCAGGGTTGCTGCGACCAATACTTGTGGAAGTACAGTTTAGTCAAGTTGGTATTGACTTTGTAGAACTTCTTTTTAGTACCTTTTGTTGAAATAAGTATATCTTAGTTGCTATGGATTATATAACAAAGTGGCCTGAGACAAGAGCTGTGAAGAGAGCCAATGTGCAAACTGTCTCAGATTTTCTGTATAACAAAATTATCTGTTATCATGACTGCCTAGAGTAAATATTCACAAACTGCAATCACACTTTAAAAATAATATGATAAAAGAATTGACAGAAAAGCTATGCGTTGTCATATATCGTTTCTACCTCAGGAGAAAGATAAAGACAGAGAACTAGTAGCAGGGAGGCACTTTAGATAGACAGGGCCAATGTGGTGTGCTAAAGTTCCTAGATACGTACAAATTAGTACAATTCTGAGATGTATAAGGTCAGGCGAAAGAGGCAATAATGATTTGTTTTTCAAAGGTCAAGTTATTTATTTAATAAAATATATATTTAAGTCTGCCAATTCCTAAGCAAAATTGAAGCCTTTATATATATGTTTGAGTTATAATATTTTCATACAAGATAAATATATATTATAGTAAAAATATAAGCTAAGATATAGATACTATTTTCGTCAAAATATTCAACTATAATAGCATTTACATAGATAAATATTTTGGTAAAGATAATATAGAAAGTAAAGATAAAATAAAATAGAAATATTCTAGAAATGATAAAGGTACAATAGATACAATAGATGTCGAAGATGTTGTAACAAATCTATAATACAAGATTATTCTAGAATAACTAATATTTCAAGGGTCAATGCTAGTGAAAATCGGACAAGGAGTATTGAAGATCTTGGGTGAAAATCAAGTGTAACAGTATGAAACATTGACTGTTCACACCATATCACCCTTAAACAAATGGGCTGATAAAGCAATTCAATCGCATCTTGTGTGAATCAATTACTAAATTGGTGCAGAATGTAACTAAGTAGAATTTGTTGATTCCTCCTATTTTACTTGTGTACAGAATGGCAAAGTATTTCACCACAAAAATGTTCACATTTTATCTAGTTTATGGTTATAAATCCTGGCAACCACTACATCCAAGCCAAACTGAGAAAGTTTTGGAAGGAACATTTGTGCAAAGATTATTTAAATTAACAGATACCTTATCTAAGAATCGTGAAAGGATGTGTAACAATACTATTGGCAAAGTAAGTAAAACAAGGTGTATTATACAAGTGGCATGAACAAGCCAATGGAAGGAGCAATACTTTAGGAATACAATTGCCTAATATATGTCTCTTTAAAACATTTGGAACTTGAAATATCTGAAGTTAATAATTCTCTATTATACCTAGAACATGTGACATATATAGGTGATATTTAGTACATAGCACATAACATGTGATGCCCAATTCCAAAAGATATTTGATATTATAATAGTATGAGTTTACAAATATCAATAATTCTAAAAAAAAAAAAACTCTTTCCCACAACACCTCCATCCGTAGAAAATTGCCTTTTTAGGAAGCTTCTTTCTTCCAAGGA